CAGCTGGATCCATCGGGGTGCGCAGCTGGAGGGGGGGCTCCCGCAGCTGGATCCATCGGGGTGCGCAGCTGGAGGGGGGGCTCCCGCAGCTGGATCCATCGGGGTGCGCAGCTGGAGGGGGGGCTCCCGCAGCTGGATCCATCGGGGTGCGCAGCTGGAGGGGGGGCTCCCGCAGCTGGATCCATCGGGGTGCGCAGCTGGATGTGCACGCAGGGGCACGGCGCAGCTGGAGGGACATGCAGGGCATGGCACAGCTGGATATGCCCCTGGGGCCGTGGCACAGCTGGAGGGACATGCAGGGGCACTGCAGAGGTGGCGGGCGGGTACGGCCATCCCATCACTCGGTGGCGCTGGGGGGGGCCCCGAGGCCGTGACCCTCGTGCCCCTTCCCTGCGTGCCCGTGGCGAGGCCGGGATCGCCGCAGGGTGGCCGGGCTGGGACCTGCCCAGGGGTATCTCCCCCCAGCTCAGCCCCACACAGCCCTGGCACCTCCTGTCGTGCACTGGGAAAAGTTGGCCAAACCTGGCTGAATTTAACCAGAAACTCCAGGAAACCCAGCCCGCACCGCTCCACCACGCAGAGCCCCGGTGCGCGTCAGGCCTCGCGCACCCACCGTCCGCTTTTGCACCACGGGGGCCCAGGGGCAAAACCCTAAACTCGCCCCGTGGGGCCAGGGATGGCAGGTCTCCTCAGAGGGGAAAAATAAAAAAAATCTCTTTGGAAAGCGCTGGCACAATGAAGTCACTCTGTAAAGTCGCTCTGTAAAGCAGCGAGTCACGGCACATCCTGGGGAGGGGAGGGGGCCTGGCAAGTGGCTGCAAGGGTGTTTTTTATTCAGAGAGCGATTGAAAGGGGGATTTGCGCTCTGCGGAGCATTGGATTTCCTTCCCCATCCCCGCTCGCCAGCTCTCCCCTCTCCTGAAGGAGACAGGATTAAATGTTTAATTTAGGGGAGTGATGTTGTGCCAAGGGGAAAGAGATCCATCTGTTTGGAAACTCTCTCAAATGCACAACAGATCAGCCCGCCTGGTTTCAATGAAAACCTCTGGCCCGTGCAGGGGCTGTTCATCCACCCCGGGACCGAGCCCCGGAGGCGCAGCCCGTCCC